AAATTAGAAAATATGAATGTTTGAATATTTAGAAGTATTTTTGAATAAATATATCAATTATAATTCAATAAAACTTTCAAAATAGTGATAATTTTTCAAGTCAATCATAAAAATGTAATCTAGTATTTAATAATTATTTAAAATTGTTCTCAAAGAATACTATTTTCTATGAATTTTATATTAAAAAATGAAAAAAAAATATTTAAAATTCACGAATAAGGGAAATAAGGGTGCGAACATCAGGATGACATCAACGTTCGATGAATGTTAATCAAGCAAAATTAGAGTTACGTCTGACAATTCTTATATAAACGATTACAAATAATTTAATTGATCAAATTAAAATTTGTAAAAGTAAGAAGAATCTTAATTGAATGAAGTATATCTTGGTAAATTTTAATTACATAAATTATCACTAAATGAAGCAAAAATTAAGTTGAAAGTAGGAACAAAGTTTCGGCATCGCGGCGGCGATGCGTCGGCGATACACCATAATTCAAAACGTTCAAGAGGATTGTCGTGTAGTGTCTATGATCTCAAAGGCTCTCTTTAGACAAAGATGATGTGGACAATCTCTAGATCTCCTTGTGAAGTCTAGAGATCAATGAAATGAGTTGTCGAATTGTCTCTAGCGACTGTCACCTAGTAGAGTGGAAAAATAGTGACTTTGCAGCTCTTCGACGGCTGTCACTTGACAGAGAGGAGTTGGATAGAGATGGGGCGTGTGTCAGGGAGCTTTATCCTCAGGTCTACATAGCAAGAGAAGACTCTTTATCGCATCCAATATGCTCTCAGGAGGTGGCAACTCATCTTTTGATAGATCATCCTCTTCCCGATGATAGCTTGTTCGTTGATTAATTAGAGATGCTTTACTCGATGGATTTACGATTCTTTTATCGTGAATCATTTAGTAATTTTAGTAACAATATTCCACAAATCGTGTTGACGAGATCTTTGCTGATGATTCAACGATTCTGATGGCTTAATCTTTCACCGACTATATAAGAAAGTTGCGATAATCAGATAAAAAATATGAGTTTTGGTTCTAAGAAGATTCAAACTTGCATCGATTGCTTGTCTATATGAGAGAGATTGACATAAATACTTTAATTCCCTTTACGTATTAAAATCATTGAATCTTTTTTGAGGAAAGTGTGATGCAAGTTTAGTCCCACATCACTTGTGCACCAAAGTTTTAGATGAATATGTAGTAATATTACATTTGCAAAAGTCTATTTCTCACACGTGTACGACTACTCCTTGCCCCACAGCCAATTGGCCACTAGTGAGGTAGAAGGGAAGTGACATACATGTGCCCCTATTGGTTCTAGCTCTCGAGCCCTTGCTTGCAGCTACTCCATGATTGCACTTCTGACCCGCTTGCAGGCCCAACTAGCCGGTGAGTCCCCTCTTATTTTGTTTTATTTTTATTTTTATTTCTTTTTCTTCATTTATCTCAAAAGTAAGATAATATAAATTATATAAATTCGTATAAAATTACATAATTACTCAAAAATTCATGTTAATCAATTGAAAACTACTTTTCACACTTTAACACAAATATAAGTCTATTTAGCATGATTTAAGGCTAAAACTATATTATTTACTAATTATTAACTCGTGATAATGAAAACTTATTAGGACTTAAAAGTAAAGAAGATTGTTTTTAATAAGGATGTAATTTTTGATGACGATCACATGTTAAAGTCCTTATCTCAGGGGTAGATGATTTAGAAATCTAATGATACTTATATTGTGGACATAATGTGAGCAGAGGTGGAGATAGTGAAGTGTTCACTTGATTTAGTTGGAGGTAGAGATCAAGTTGAACACTCATTAGATGTTTTTCTATTAGACAAGACATGTATGAGATGAGGTTTTTTGCTTATCTAGATGACTATATTACTTTCTCTTTATTTGTAATTAATGATGAGTCAAGGTCTTATTAGGAGGTGATTAGTTATCGTAAAAATAAAAATTAGATGTAGGTGACGTCTAAGGAGTAAACATTTTTAGACAAGAACTACACATGAAACTTGGTTAATCTACTTATAGGAAAGTTACCCATTGGCTGCAGGTAGGTTTACAAAAAGGCTCTAGTAGTTGATTATGAATAGTCATAATACAAAGTAAGATTCATTGTACAAGGTTTTGCATAGAAGTAGGGAATCAATTATAATGAGATCTTTTTTTTTGTTGTGAAACACACATTTATTTGGTGAGTATTAGTTATTGTTGTATATGAAGATATGGAGTTGAAGTAATTAGATGTGAAGACGGTGTTTCTTTATAGGGATTTAGAGAAGATTATTTACATATAATAACTTGAAGGCTTTGTTGTGTAGAGGTCGAAGCATCTTATCTATTGGTTGAGAAAGTCATTTTATGAGTTGAAATAGTCACTGAGATAGTGATATAAAAAATTTAACTCTTATATAAAGTAGATTGACTATATGAGGTATGAGTTTGTTTATCGTGTTTATAAGAAGAACTGTGATGATGATTTCAAAATTATTTTGATGTTTATATTTGATAATATACTTATTATTGTGAAAAATGTACATGAGATTGTAAGGTTGAAGATACTATGGAGTAGTAAATTTACATGAAGTATTTTGATGTGACAAAGAAGATCTTGAGTATAGAGATTTATAAAGATTGAGAGAGAGGTCAACTATGATTTATTTAAAAGAATTATTTTTTGAAGGTGATGTATTAATTTGGCATAGGTAATGTTAAAATAGTTGATATTCCTCTAATAAATCATTTCAAGTTATCTATCTCTTAGTGTCGATAGTTGAGGCTGAGATTGTTGAGATGAAGTAAATTCTCTAAACTAGTTCACTCGACTTTCTCATATATGTCATGGTATGTACAAGGCTAGATATTACTCATATAGTTAGGCATATGATCAAATTTATGAGCAATATGAGGAATAAGCATTGGAGCATAGTAAAGTAGATTCTTTGATATTTGAAGGGTTCATTTGATTTGAAAATTTTCTTTAATAGAGAAAACTCTTTTTTTATCATTGATTTTGTTCCTGTAGAGTTTGCTAGAAATTTAAATCATCAAAGATCTACAACAAACTATGTCTTCATTGTGACTAGTGGATATGTGAGTTGGAAGTCTATACTTCAATCTAATGTCGTATTGTTTATGATTGAGGCATAGTATATGGTGGCTATTGAGTAGCCAATGAGGCTTTATAGTTAAAGGAGTTGTTGAGTAAACTTGAGATCTTGTGACAATAAAAAATTAAGTCTGCTATGCACAATTGAAGCACATTAATGTGCAATATCACAATATTAGTGAGTTGCTAAACTCTAAAGATCTCTCTAGAGAAGGTTCACAGAGAGGAGAAGGTCGCAAATGTTGACGAAGGTCGTCATGGTGGAGAAATTCAGATTGTCTAGATTTGATTCATATTGTAGGTATATTAGACCAGAAAGAGAACTTGCAATATAGACAAATGCCAACTTTGAGTGTAGCAGGGATGGTTGCTAAAGTAGAGTTTGTTGGTCAGTGTCACCCACCCTACTAACCCATGCAAGGGAAAGGATGACACAGATAATTTCCTTAATTGCTTGCTGGTGGGTGTCACCCACCCTACTGACCCACGTAGTTGGAAATGGCGATGCAAGTGATTTCCCTAACCATCTATAGTAATAGGAGTGATGCAGGCTATTAGAGAAATCACCATATGTGAAGATGTCTTATTTTTTTAGAGCCCAATAATTTTTTTTTGATGTATTCATAATCCATTAGATTAATAGCAAAGTATTCTTCTTCTACTACTTTTTCCTCTCCTTATTTCTATTTCTTGGCCTATTGTTGAATCTCTTGAGACTAAAGGGGCCTTCTTGAGGGCTCTCTTATGAAAGATGATGCCATAGACAGGTATAGGTGGTGGACACCATCTCTTGGATATTTTATTCCTATTATTAGTGTTCCTTTGATATCCCCTACATATATATAAGTTCAGACTTACTTCTGCATGTGTGTAGCTCTCTTACAACATCTCAGGAGAATTCTGGACCATTACAGTGATTTTTGCCAATATTTGAATCTTTGGCATTATTTGAGTTATCTTTGCCACGAATTTTACAGTTTTGAAGCCTATCACACTATAAGTCGACTGTGACTACGAGGCAGAAAAAGGTGTAATGAGATCAAGTTGTTGGGATTTCTTGCCTTCTTTAGCATTTCTAGACTGTTGAGAAATGGACAAGCAAAGATGTTGGAGATCAAGGTTTCATGTTGTGAATCAGAGGAATTGTGCCACTGGAATCGTCTGATGATTTGATATCAATGCCAATGTGGTAACACTGGCTCTATTGACCCTTGAAGTTCTTCCAATAAAGGTATATCCATATGAATTTAATCTTGAGGCGAGTGAGGTTCATATCATAGTTTCAAAATCCTCATTTAAGGTGGAATCAGAGCCTCGTCCGTATTTTGGCTCAGGTACAAGAAACAGTCAGTTAAAGAACCATATGCCCTGTAACAGGGCTAAAAATCCCAGTCAGGTTCGTATCTTACCCCATATGAATGATAATGTGATCGATTCCAAACAAGAACTCAGATTGGTGTATTCCGGTGAAATGTGACCTTTAATTACGGTTTATCTCATTCGGCTAAATGCCTTGCAAAACTTATACATATTCTATTCAGTAAATAACGAGTGTCTACCTTCAAGCACCACTTGCCGAGTTTCATATTATACACTTTTCCTCATTCTCCCGCCATGTTTACTCGTCATACTTATTGGTACGGTGTAAAAGGATTAGAGCTCTGAATGATGTCCACAAGTTCTACACCCGAAACTATACAATCTAACAAGCAAAAATAATGCTCTACACGGCTGACTCGTCACGTGCTCAACCCCACAGGACCGCGTAAAGTAGTGTCAATCATGATTTTATTCTTTGTATGTAACAACATAACTTCGCAAGTGACCACCCATTTATCAGATACAGCGGCGAGAAGAACCTAGCCGACTACGGGATGACATCGAAAGCCGTGAGATCCGGGGACTTCTTCCCGACCTTCTCGTACACAACTGCCAAGTACAGCTCTTCCGGGCCGATGTCCGTCTCGGCGCCAATCACCAGCCGGTACTTCATCCCCATCACAACCTGTTGCTGCCCGCCAAGGACGCGAGTCAGGAGCAGCGTGTCACCAGAGTTTTTATTGTGCCGCCTCACGGCAAACTTGGCGAGAGCCTGGATGTGGGCATCCTCGGGGTCGTCGATCGGCTCGTAGCTGCCCAGGAACCTCGGGTTGCGTGAGGCCGCTGCTCCGCCGTTTGGGAGGATTAGAAGGATGGCCACTAGCAGGAGAAGGAGTGCATTTTGAGAGTGAGTTGCCATGGTTACTCTGTTCCTATCTTTTCACGTATGTAGAGAAAGGCAGACGATGTTCTGAGGAGATCGAGGGGCCATTCTATATATAATGGGGGGAGAGTTAACGAACCGAGCAAGGCTCAGAACCGTGTACAACAAGTGGAGACGCACAAAGTGTTTGACCGAGTGAAGTGTTACTGTGCACGTAACCTATTCGAAACCAATAATGATATTAAATGCTTCATCCGCCAGAAGGATAGTCTCCACGCGGACTTCTCGTTCTGGAATCTTTAAATCAACCTGGTATTCGAGACTCGACTCTTAAAATGAAAAACTGGTCTGTGGTAGAGGTGCCGCAGTCTGCAGGCTCGGACTTGGCATTTACAAAATACAGTAGTCAGAAAATATTCATAGAATATTGAGAAATATTGTCAACGAGGATTTTTGTACCTGGTGAAAGTGTTTTATGCGATTGTTTTTTATTTAACTACTCTATGAAAACCGAAAGGATATATCTCAATCAATTTATATCATCAGTTCAAATTAAATTAGAAGTGAGTTTTATAGTTTAGTTGTTTACATCACAGTCAGCATTCGTTCTGAAGAAACTCGGTTTTGTATAACACCGTCTAAACTATTTGCCACATAGCTTTAGAAACTAATTTTCCTTGCTCAAATTAATATACATTTGATGCTGACACATTGTTTATAGGATATGCAGAATCGCCGGGAAAAATCTTCTCCTCTAGCCGCTCTGAGCTATATTCCGTGTTAGATTGACTTCCGCCTTTGCCTGGGACATAAAGTCATCCACCGCGCTGCTTACCCAGAATCATATTAATGTTGACGTTCTACATGACAGAATGGAGACGACTCACGTTCGTCAACATTTACATTGCCGAGCGGGACATCATTTTCCTTTTATTTTTTTCCCTTCTGCTGAAGACAGCTTCCCGACCCATGAACCGGCAAAGCAGAGCTTAAGACATCATGGCTACAATTACAATGCGGCCTTCTCATTCCTTTGTTGTCAAGCCATACCCTTTGTTATGACCTCGTCTACTGCGTTGGAATATAGGCATTCTTTTAAGCGACATCGTTAAAAAGGTCCGTTCCTAACTCGCTTCATTCAGAGATGTGTTTAAAAATGTGTCTACTTGCATACTAGTATTCCTGCCGAGTGAAAAAGGAAAAACGGAGAACAAGTCGGACGAAGGAAGCGATTTGAAGTAAACGATTTAAAGAAGGCCCCGGTTCTGCGTTGTGGAACGCGGTAACACGGTCAGAGATCCTCTGACCCAGTCAATGACTTCACGTACTCGAACCAACTTCAGTTGTTGGTTCACAGTATATTCTTGTCCATTATCCCGAGTCGGACTGTAAACTTGATCGCAAATAACAAATCGGTTACTATGTCATATTGTTGGCTTGGTCAAGTCCAGCTGATATTAGTTTTGGCGAAGTCGTTGCTATGCATGCAGACAATCTCTGTGTGCCGAGTTTTCCTGCTAACAGAAACGCATGGAACCCAGGGGGGAATTACCGACTTGCAATCGACGCGACCGGGGACAAGGCTGTGGAGGACATTTTCGTTCCCGTAGCATACCTGAAGCCTTGCAAGAGACTCAGGGACCTCACAGGATTTGAACTGATCGTGTAATCGTCTTAATCAGCGGAGCCTTGGTGTCGAGGCTAGGAAGAAGGTTTTGGTTCGAAGGCACCCAGCCAGGCTCCAGCCTGGTTCCCCAGGTTGCCCCTAGGCTCTACTCATGCAACGCAATGCCAAATTAGCTGTGTTACAAATCAGGGACTTCCACTGGCTAAGGATCTCGTTGTTGACGAAGCCTTCCGTGTTGCTGGCCGGGAAGATTGGATGGACAGAGAATAAGTGCTGCAGAGGTAGGTGAGCTTGGATATCAAGTGTCGTGATTTCGTGCGAGAGTTGACGTCACCAATGTGTTGGGAAGTTTCCTGGTATCGTAAGTAAAAGGGAGCTTCCTCTCAAATAAAAAACGGCTTTGTAGTAAACCGGGGACAGCGAAGAGTTGAGTTATTGCGAAAAAGGACTAGGGCAAAATCCTTGCGGTATGCAGTTTGTTCAGCTGTTGAAATTACGTTCACAATGAAGCAATTAAACTGCCCAGAATGTTTGTCCTAAGCTGCGATGGCAGATGCAATGGATGTATTTTGAGTAGGCCTCAAATGATCGTTTGTCCATGTAACTTGTTAACTACGATAGTGAAATGAACATTCACGGCTTATCAGACTAAAGTGGTACAACAGCTGCAGAACACTAAAGTGGTACCAGACTATTCACAAGGTTAAAAGTCCAATCCCACTTTCATGGGGCGCGTTAGAATATCAGAATCGTAGGGACACGCGAGAGTTGGAAATCTCGTTGAGTAAGAAATGCGTATGTATAACGTCAGATTAATGGTGTGGGGAGACTAGTCATCACCAATGTTTTAGGAAGGGTATGGGCATGCGATGTAGCATTGCCACGGAAGATGGCCAAGTTCTGGTTTTAATCCATAAATTCCAATGTTGGAGAAGAAACCAAGCCCTCAATTCATAGAAACCTTCAGCCCTCGAATCCATATTGGGGGATAATCCTGTACCTGGAAAACTTAAAATAGAACCTGTGAATTCATAAGGGTCATTTGATCCACAAGGGGCATCTCAATCGCAAGAGATAAACCCAAAAATGTCCAATTGAATGAGTAGGGGTTTTAATAGAGGGCTTTTATATAGGCTTGGAAACAGATGCTGATAAAGTAAAATAAACTCTAGAAAACTAAAATAAGTTCTAAAGAGAATCGAAAGAGAGTATGTAATAAACATAAGAAAAATCAGAAACTAAAAAGAACAGACAAATTCATGATGATTCGTCTAAGCTTGAATAAGTTAATATAAATTGTCTTGCATGAATGATGCTATTTCAAGATTCTGAATCAAGCCCTAACTATGAAAAATTCATGTATGATTCTCAGATAGTCTACACATGTGTGGTCGACATGGAGGCTGGCCCTATGAATCTTTCGCTTTGTTCAAATTGTGAGTGATGGAAAGTAAAAAATTATCTATTCTCATAGACAAAAAGTAGGATGAAATCACACATGATCCTTTGTCATTGTAATTGATTATTTTTAATAGAGAATTCAACATTCACAGGTAATGATCTCACGTGGATACTGATTTCAAAGTCATGCAACAAACATATCATTTTGCGACAATAGATAAGGCTTAAGGTTCAATCGAATTTTTAATAATTCTATATTATAAAATCAAAAGGGAGACATCATAAATTATGAAATGTAGTGGAATAAATAATTATTTCTATATTCTTGGATTTTGTCAATTCTCAGCATTCCTACCTCAACGTAAAATTGTTCATGGAGTGCACAAAAAGTCTGAAAGGGAAGAAAGAGCCCAGCACCAAGGTGAAATATCGTTGTAAATGCTGAGATCTGATCTTGCTCCAACTGATTTATGTGACGGATTGGGAACGAGAAGGATATCGTCACTTTTGATTACAGTTAAAAGTGTAAATTTTATGCCATTGACTGCTAGATGTTCATTAGTTCTAAACGATTAGCAAACGCTTATGTATTTCATTCACTAAATAGCTTGCAACTACCATCGAGGTTACCTTTAGCTGAGTCATTCTTCATATGGACCCAAAAAAAAGACCTCATACTCGACAATATTCTGCATTCTCCTAAAGAGTTTGCACGTCATCCTTGAATATTACGGACTTGATTCGGGCTTTGAATGCTTTCCACAAGTTTTTCCCCTCGAAATTATTAAATCTACCAAGCCAGCAGAACAGTATCAAGACTGACTCATCTCATGGTCAACCACATACGACAACGTAGCATAATGGGACAATCTTGATTTTTTATTTATTTATATAACAACATAACTTCTCGAACAACAACCCATTTTTGAGATACCGCAACCAGAAGAACTTGGTCTACTACGCGATGAGGCCGAAGGCCGTGAGCTCCCGGTAGTTTTTCCAACCCATCTCGTACACAACGGCCAAATAGAGGTCTTCCGCACCACTGTACCCCTCGGCGCCAATCACCAGTCGGTAGTTCATTCCCTTCACGACCTGTTGCTGCCCACCAAGGACGCGAGTCAAGACCAGCGTCTCACCAGAGTCTTTATTGTGCCGCCTAACGGCGAACTTGGCGAGAGCCTGGATGTGGGCATCCTGGGGGTTCTCGATAGGCTCGTAGCTGCCCAGGAACGCTGGTTTGCGTGAGGCCGCTGCACCGCCGTTGGGGAGGACTAGAAGGATGACCACTAGCAAGGGAAGGAGGAGGATATTTTGAGAGTGAGTTGCCATTCTTTGTGATTGCCTGTCTTTTCTGGAGTGTATAGAAAGGCGGTGACGAAGATGTGAGTGGGAGATCGAGCGGCCATTCTATATAAAGGATCAGATCGGACAGTTGCCAAGGTTGTATCGTCGTAGACAATGGGAAATGGCGGACAAAGGTCTTGACGCGATGTTATATCGCTGCACACGAAAGGTAGTTAAACCCTCAGCGGTATAGTATAGTTTCGCCGCCAACGGAGATGTACGCTGACTTTTCGTCGTGGACCGTTAATCAGCTAGAAAGCGTGTAGGGGTCCTGGTGTAGGGGTCACCGTTTGGAAAGCGTGGAGTTCTTAGTTGAAAATGATTATCAGCTAGAAACTATTAATGAGAATAGTTCGCATATATTCATTGATGTTTCCACTGAGTGGAAAACGCGGAAATCCGATTTTATAGTCGAATAAATATATAAAAATTAAAAGGAATAAGCTAAAGCATGCTATACAATGTGTCAGAGTAAATTAGAATTTATTTTTTTATCAGAGTTATTAAAGCTAAGGTAAATGTTCTCTTTATGAAAACTAGGTTACGAAGAACATCCTCAGAAACGATTTGTCATCAAGGATAAAAAAGTAATTTTCCTTACACAAGCTGTTAAATAGTTCACTTTCACAAAAAGAATTGTACGTGATATACATCTGTCAGATGAGGCCTTTTGCTCCGGTCACAAACAAGAATTTGTGGATGCTCCTCGTTAGATTGACTTTGGCTTTTGTGTTGATAAAAGGTTACATACAGATCTTTGCCTGAAGAGTAGATTAACCTGCTTTGCCAGCAACACATATCCGTCAGCATTTCAATGGCCATACCCGTCGTCGTATATTTTCCTTCCTGCAGCTAAAGTCATATTGTACTGACTTCCTTCAGCTAAACCGGATCATGTCGACATCTGTGATCCGGTTTCCTGTACATTGGGTAGGTCAAGCCTTTGGTCCTCACCTGCTGAAGTACTGACCGGTCAACTCTCTCGTAATATAGGCTTTCTTCTAAGATATTTTTTAACGTAGTCCATTATTAACTCTCTTCATTGTAAACGTGTCCGAAGATTTCCCTATTTGTATCTTCGTCTTCTCGTAAGGAACGAGTACAGGGTGAGAGACGGGGAGCGAGTCGGATGAATCGAGCCCCGTGTTTTGCCTGGTTGAACGTAGAAGCTCGGCGAGAGATGTGCGGACGTAGTCAATGCACTCTTACATGAGCGAAGAAACCTCTCTGTCCGCTGAAACTGTATTTTCGTTCCTTTGGTTGGATTGAAGCTTTCAAACCTAAAACCGGGGTCATAAACGCCAGAAAGTATCACGCCCAGGGCTATGATCAGGTCCCGGACCCACCCACCAAGGTGCTACAATTTTGACGAAATCGTCGTAACACCCACCCATTATACGCGATATCCGAATAGAACGAGGATCATACGCGGAGGCGATACTCCGCGCCCGTGTGCCGTCACTATGGCGACGGTCGTCAGCCATGCTCCAAACTAACGAGAAGAACTGTGTGCGCTTATTTTACCCTCACACTCACACCAAAACAAATGGAACCGGTAGTCGGTGCGACCGGGGCCAGCGACATCGAGGACCACTACTTGCCCGTGGTATACAAGAAGCGGTGGAAGAAAGTCATGGAACTCTCAGCGTCTGAAGTAATCGTCTAATTGGCCTGGTTCCCGCGTTGTTTCTGTGCCTGATGAATGATGCAGTGACCCTCGAAGACGAAATCGATCAGAAACAAACAAACACGTTATTCTGACGTCAGACCCATTGGATGCACCATGACAAAGTATAGACAACACGGTATGTACCCCGATTTCTTGATGCGTTCCAGCAGCCACAGCACAAGGAGATCTACGCTGTGTCTCTTCAAGGACCCGGTCCATATGCCGTTCTCTTGTTTAATACGGCTCAGGCACCAAGCCATCTATGAATTCATTTGTGCTCGGCAAAATAAACTACTAATAAGTGTTGTCATGGAGCGCCAATGAACTGACAGAACTTTTTCAATGCATTCCAAACTCATAGAGCGTTTCATCAATTGATTATTATCTGACAAAACATCTGAAACTGGATTGTAAACGGTGTGAACTGAGACATTATTTTTTCAATTTTTTACAAATTTGATCAAAACGCTTGCTTTTCGGATTTCAAATACCGAGGACAAGGTATGGGCTTTCTTCCATTGCCATGTTGGAAAGAGCCTGGCGAAAGAAATTCGGCCCCGCTAAATAGATTTGGAAAAGAAATGGACCTGTCCGAGTTGTGTTATTAACGAGATGGTGAATATGTTACGTAGGGATTCAGCCGTGTGGGATCCCTTGTAGAGCATACGACAAGATCGCGTTAATCGACGTTTCGCCTTTTTGAAAGGGAGCATACCTTCGCAAGCCACGTCACAATTCATCACATCGACAAGGAATGCTAATCTTAGGTATAGAGGAATGGATGTCGAAAGTTGTGAGTTTCAGGACCTTTTTCCAAAGGCGAACTAGAGATCCTCCACAGCGATGTCTGCGGCTGCACCGATGAATTACTAGCGCTTCCTACCAGAATTCTTCTGGTGTGAACCTTCACGGTGATTTTTTCGAGGGGATGGAACTGGAAATCATAGCGGAAATCGAGAAACTTGTATGCGCCGACAGACTAAGGAATAAAAATCTGTGAGGAGACTTGTGAGGAAACATTCGAACTAAGGAATACAAATCTGTGTGCGGAGCCGTGATTATTTCGTTTGAACAAATGAAAAATATTCTTCCGTCTCACTGATTATTTCGTCGGGAATAATATAAGATCCGATCAGCACGTTTCAACGGGCGATTTGTTGTGGGCCTAATTGCAAAACCTTGACCTTCTTGCTAGTTTGACCTTCCCCTTGATATAGAATGGCTTGCGCATCTCTCTCTGTCGTCCTTTAATCTCTCGGCAACAACCATCCAGACAGAAAAGAAAAGATTGAAGCCATGAGAACTCTCTCCCATCCTCTCTTCCTCCTGCCCCTCCTATTCTCAGTTCTTCTGATTTTCCCCAACGGTGGTGCCGCGGCCTCGCGCAAACCCCCGCTCTCCGGCGCATATGAACCGATCCAGGATCCTGAGGACGCGCACATCCAGGCTCTCGCAAAGTACGCCGTGAGGCAGCACAAGAAGGAGTCCGGCGAGTCGCTGGTCCTGAATCGTGTCCTTGGTGGGCAGCAACAGGTGGTAGCAGGGATGAACTACCGCCTGGTCATCGGCGCGGCGGGGTGGAGCGGTGTGGAGGAGCTCTACTTGGCTGTGGTGTACGAGAAGCCTTGGAAGACTTTCAGGAATCTCACTGTGTTCGAGCCGATCGTGTAATTCTCTTAGGTTTCCGGTGGCTTATGAATAGTGCCGTTACTGGTAGAACAATGTAAAGCAAAAAACATGTGGATGAACTGATCGTCAACGTATATGCTAACTGGGCCCTTTTATGTAAAAGCACATAATTTTATCATGGTTTTCGATCTAACGGTGCCCTTTTGAATTAACCGTTCTACCCTATTTCATTCATAGTCAACATGTTAATGTATCAAAACGTACCATCTGCGTGAGCAGCAGTGAAGAGCGTATGCATCAGTGAATTATACCCCGACACCGAAAGGATATTGTGAAAAATGAAAAGAAAATAAACTGAATCAGAAAATATACAATGTTCAGAGTAAATTTGAATCTATTTTTTAATGGACTTAGTGAAAGCTTAAGCGGTCTCTTTTTAAAAGCTAGGTTAGGAAGAACATCCTAAAAACTTTGTCATCCGGAATATAAAAATGATTTTCCTCTGTCAAACTGATAAAGATTTCGCTGTCACAAAATAATTTGTACGTGTCATACATCTGTCTGAAGAGGCCTTTTGCTCCAGTCACCCTCAAATGAGGATCTGTAGAAGCCCCTCGTTGGATTGACATTAGCTTTCAGGTTTGATAAAACGTCACCCACAGAGCATATTTTCCCCTCGTAGCATATTTTCCCTCTTCAGTTGAAGTCACATATGCTGGTGACTTCCTTCCAAATGAAGCATGCCCACAACTATGATCCTGTTATCTGTACATTGGATAGGTCAAGCCCAGGTCATCACCTGCTGAAGTAGTGACTTCTAAACTCTATCGTAATATAGAAATTCTTCTAAAACATTTTTGAAAAGAGTTCATTATTAATTCTCTTCACTGTAAATTTGTGCGAAAAATTGCTTATTGGCATCTTAGTCTTCTCGTAAGGAATGAGCAAAGGGTGAGAGACGGGAGTGAGTCGGTGGAAGCGAGCTGTGTTGAGTATCAGATCCAAGAATCCCAAGGTTCTGGCTTGTTGGACGTAGAAAGTTAGTAAGAGATGTGCAGACCTAGTCAGTATACTTCTACATGAGCGAAGAAAGCTCTGAGTTGCTCGCTGAAGCCATATTTTCGTTCCGTAGGTTGGGTTCATGCTTTCAAACCTAAAACCGGGGCCACAAATGCCAGAAAAATATCACGCACACCCTTTGGCGGGGTGAAATGAAGGTACTATAATTTTGACAAATTGTCGTCACAGCCACCACCATACACGATATCCAAACTGCACGAGGGTCATACGCAGAGGCCATACTCTGCGTCCGTCTGCCATCACTATGGCGACAATCGTCAGCAATGCTTTAAACTAACGAGCAAAATTCTCTGTGTGCTTATTTTACCCTCACCCGCACACTAAAACAAATGGAACCGGTAGTTGGGGTGACGGGGGCCAGCGACATCGAGGACCACTACTTGCCCGTGGTATACGAGAAGTGGTGGAAGAAAGTCATGGAACTATCAGTATCTGAACTAATCGTTTAATTGGCCTGGTTCTCGCACTGTTTCTATTCCTGATGGATGCTACATTGACCTCCGAAGACAAAATCGGTCAGAAACCCAAAAAGAAAGTTATTCTGACGTCAGACCCATGGGATGCGCCATGAAGTTTAGACAACACGATATGTACCTGGAATTCTTGTTGCCTTTCAGCAGCCACGGCACAAGAAGATCTACCTTGGGACTCTTTAATGACACAGTTCATGTTAGAGTAAGACGGCTTATATAGACTTCAGTAGAAGCGATGCTTACAATGTGAAGTAAGATAGAAGAAAGAACAACTCACAACAAGCGTACCTACACAAAGATTTTACGTGGTTCGGAGGTTAGCCTTCTACGTCTACGGGCAATGACGAAAATTCCACTAGATACGAAAAGTAGTACAAGATAATCACTCCTCAAGAACCCAGAGAATAGATCTCTGATCTTGACCTTTCCAAGATCCCAAGGAACAGATCCTTGATCTTGGCCATCTGATGCACTCATCAACTCGAGAGATCTTCCTTGGAAGCTCTCTCCCAAACACTCTCTCTCTATGGGGAACAAGGGTAGAAAGGGATTACTCGTGCTGCTCAAAATGAGGGGAGGTGGCCCTCTATTTATAGGCACCTCACAGCCACCTCAGTAATTGTGCCAATAAGGGCCTCAGAAAATGTGTTGAACGGTTTGCCTTTCTTCTGCCTGCACTGTTCCGGTTCGTGACCTGCACAACCCATAAATGGGCCGTTGAGTCCATGACAATCGGTCTGGCTATTTTTCCTTTGTACTCTGTCTCTCCTCTCCGCATTAAATGTGAGCATTTAATGTGGCAGCCTCAAAAGAAGGCAAGCCATAAACGACAATTCTCCTCTTGGCTTCTCTTTTTCAGTCTAATACTTCATCATTTTTATAGTCGCCATGGCCCCATTAGGGCTCTCATCATGTGCTTCATAAGCTAATCAAGTTTAGGCAATACCCAAACTTCTTTGAAGGAAGTGTCTTTGTAAGGATATCCTTGGGATTCTCTATTGTATGAATTTTCTGTACATCAACCTTTCCCTGCATGATAACAACACAAACAAAGTGATACTTGACATCAATATGTTTGGTCCTCTCATGGAACATTTGATTCTTAGTTAGTCAAATATTTGGCACTCTAACTATCATAGTATACCAGAGTTGTCTCTTGTACAAGACCAAAATTGCCAACCAAACTCTAAAGCCATAAAGCTTTTTTCACTCCTTTTGTCATTACTATATATTCAGCTTCTGTTGTTGACAAAGCCACTGTAAACTGTAGAATAACCTTCCAACTAATGACAATCTGAAAGAGTAAACACATCTTGTTAGGGATCTCCTCTTATCTAGATCACTAGCATAATCAAAATCCACAGTTAATCAGTTAGCTATCATCACTACTTTCCTTTTAAAATACTAAGCTCACATCTGAAGCACCTCTGAGATAATGAAGAATTCACTTTACAGCCTCCTAATAGATCTTCCCTGAATTTCTCATATACATGTTGACCACACTAACAACATGAGAAACATCTAGACAAGTGTTATACCGTAGCATACATAATGCTTCCATTGCACTCACATATGGAATCCTATTCATTAATTTCATTTCTTTATCTTCGGTGAACTTTCTTTAGACAACCTGAAATTAGCTGCCAATAGATTACTAACAGCTTTGTATCCTATCAATCTAAATCATTCTAGCACCCTCTCTATGTACTATTTTTGAGACAAGTACAAACTTCTAGTGTTATGATCTATGTAAATCTCCATGCCCAATATCTTCTTCATTGTACCGAGATCCTTTATCTCAAATTCACCATTCAACTAAGACTTCAAGTGGTCAATATCTGACATGTTCTTGACAACAATCAACATGTCACCAACATATAGCAATAAATATATATGTGGACCATCTGAAAGTTTCCTGTGATATACATGACTATTACAATCACTTCGCAAGTAATTATGACTCAATGTAAATATATCAAACCTCTTGTACCACTGTCTCAAAGACTGTTTTAAACCATATAATGATTTCATCAACAAGTACACATAGTTTTCTTTATTAGAAATCTTGAAACTTTCAGATTGATGCATATAGATTTCTTCCTCTAGTTCACCATGTAAGAATGTTGTCTTCACATCTATCTACTCCAACTTTAAATCAAGTGAAGCAACAATAACTAGTAAAATATGAATTGATGTATGTCTTACCATAGGAGAGAAAATCTCATTGAAATCAATGCCTTCTCACTATGTGAAGCCCTTCGTCACTAAACGTGCTTTGAATCTAACACCTTCTCTAAACATGATTTCTTCCTTCTTCTTGAAGACTCATTTACACCCCACAATCTTTTGTCTAAGTGATATCTTCATAAGCTTCCATGTCTTATTCTTCTTTAGAAACTTCATCTCCTCTTGCATAGCCAACTACCACTTTGAAGAGTTGTCAATAGTCATAGCCTCTTTGTCAGAACATGATTATGTCCCTCCAACTTTATCTGCAACAGATAAAGCAAAAGCTACCACATTAGAGTACCTATTAGGTGGTCTGATCGTCTTTCGCTGCCTATCTCTCATAGTACTAGGCTGTCGTTAAGGGACTTCCTCTATTGCTATATTCTCTTGCTCTTCTTAAACTTTAGCTACTCAATCAAAAGTAGCTATTGTCATGGAGTGCCAATTGACTAACTCCTGCCACTGTAGTTAGAAAATCTATTCAATCGAGAGTTTTTGATGGAGTGCCATGAAATACCTGACTGCAGGAAGGCTGTTGGAGTCAATAGACCTTGTGCTCATGTTTTGGGGTCAATGTGACTTTAAGTGTATCAAACAATTGGACTTGAGAGCAGGCGGCGTCTTTAGGGGAGGATGGTGAGAGAAGGACGGTAGTAGAAGGAAGGAGAAAAGGTAGAGTAAGACACAGCAGGAGTGTGAAGAAAGCGGCCCAGCGACCAGCTCTAACTAGGAGCATGGTCCTCGGGACCAAACCAACCAGGGCATCGAGATCAAAGCTGCTCAAACGGAGTCTTTGCTAAAACGCATGTGCTATCAGACAAAGTTAAGGGTCTATTTATAGATCGAACGAGGGCAACAGGAAGAAGGGGAGAAGGGAAATCCTCAATGATAGAGGTATTCTCCATGATAGAGTTGTTCAGAACTTATGATCTCGCATGAACACGGAATCCTTAACGGCTTGAGATATTTCAAACATAAGATGGTTGCTAAACAGATGGAAAGCTGAAAAAGAGCAGACTGAATTAGTCCACATGAAAAATTGAAAACTGAAAGCCTGTGAGTAAAGTATAAAATCGAGATGGTAGCCCTAGCTATTACTTGACCACTAATGAGATGCACGAGGTCTGTTGTGCTGTCGCGGAAAAGCAAATAATTGTCCTTGTGGTGGACATGGCTATGATCAATTGACGGAGAACTGTTGAAAAAATAACTGGAACTAGAGAACTTTTCAGAATCGTGGATATTGATATAGATAATTTT